GTAGGTCAAGCTGGTTGGTATTAGCTATATAGGAGGATGCTTTTCTCCAGCCTGTCCCACTGAGTGCTGGGATAGCAGGGTGTGCCACCTGCCCAGGGCCTGACTTCTAGACCCCAAGAGAAGGTAAGAGGAAGCCAGACCTGGGCCTGATTTCCCACCAGGACTCTGGGGTCCTAGATGAAGTTCAGAAGGATCTCTGGGTGCTCGATAACTCAGTAGTCTTGGCCATAGAGCAAGGCCTGCATCTGCCCACCGTGTTGATGGCCCATAGTGCTGTTGGCTCACTGTGTTGGTCACCTACCATGTTGGTGGCCGGCTGCATTCTCTGTCTACCCCAGGATAGACAGCCCTCCCCCAGCTTCTCAAATGAGGAAACAGGCACAGGTAGTAACCACCAAGCTGAGAAATGACACGGCTGAGATTTGAAGTCAGTCTTCAGTCCTATATGGCTCATTGGCAACACACTGCAAAGCTGGGGTGGTGTCCTGAACCCACACTGAAGGAGGGGAGTGAGGAGAGGGTGGGTTAGCAGACTTGAAGGAGCATGAACCAGAGGAGGCTTGTGGACTGGCAGGGGCGGGGCAGGGGGGACACAGCACCTCACCCCTAAGCCCATTTTTTCTTACTGCATTGGTGTCTCAACAGAGGCTTGTCTGCCCTGCCCATCTCTAAGGGAGGAGAGTGCTGGGAACCACTGGTAGAACCTGAGGCAGCTCTGGCTGACCAGGAGGTCTGGAGAGACAGTGCAGTGCTGGGCTGGACACCTGGGAGCAGGGACAGAGGAGGACAGCCAGCCCAGAGTCTCCTGCCTGCCTGCTGTGTGAACTTTGCCTACTGCTTCACCTGAGTGCGCACACACACACACACACACACACACACACACACACACACGCAACACACACGCACACACACACACACACACCATGCCCTCTGGCCTCATCCCTGTATCCCTCTGGCTTTCTCCTCACTTCCTGGGAGGCGGGACTCCGACAGGACCAGAATGGTGGTGTGAACTGTATATGTAGCCAGATTGGACTCAGTTCCACCATGTATCACCTCAGTGGCCCTGGATGTGCCGTCTTAGCTGCCTGGTGCCTCAGTTTCCCCACTTTTTCTTTTTTTTCTTTACTTCTTTTTTTGTTGTTATTGGTTTTTGTTTGTTTGTTTTTCGAGACAGGGTTTCTCTGTGCAGCTTTGGAGGTTGTCCTGGAACTCGCTCTGTGGACCAGGCTGGCTACAAACTAATAGAAGATCCACCTGCCTCTGTCTCCCGAGTGCTGGGATTAAAGGCATGCGCCACCAACGCCCGGCTCAGTTTCCCCACTTTTAAATGTAGATGGTATACGTATAAAGCATGTAGACCAGGTCATAGCACATGGTGGACACTCAGTCAGTCTGAGCTGCTGATAGCCAAGACTGGCATCAACATCACTTTTACAGCCGTGGCTGGGACTGCAGCTCAGCTGAAAGTGGTTGCCAGCTTGCAGATGTCCTGCTAAGTATAGACTGGACATGGTGGCCCAGAGATCCTAGCACTGGGGAGGCAGAGGCAGGAGCATCAGAAATGCAAGGTTATCTGCTGTGTAGTGAGTGTGAGGCTGCCCGGGCTACATAAGAACTGTCAACAACAACGGTAAGCGATAGAATAAAGAAAACGGACTTGGAGCAGGACTCTGGACTCCCAACCCTAGGTGCCCTTTCCCTTCAGGGGCTGCTAGTGAGGGTTCCCAAGAGACACAGACTAGCAGCCGAAGGAGATGTGGGAGAAGGGGGTTTTCTGAGAGGCAGACAGAGGGGAAAGTGGGGAGCAGCCGGTGCGGCTGAGGGAGCAGGGGTTCCCATGGTGCTGGGCAGGAGAGCAGCCAGCCATACCCCCTTTCTTCGGCTCCCCACCCCCTGCTGGCTGTAGGTGCCGGTGTACACTGGGGGGAAGGCTCCCTTTCCTGTGCTCATCCCCCCATAAGACACTCTCTACCAGAGCCCCCCTCATCTGTGCCCAGGGACGCACAGACCGCATGCTGTGTCTCCCTTCAGTCCAGCCAAGTGGCCATCTAACCCTAGAGTCTCCTGCCTGCTTGGTCCTTGCTCCACCCCCACCCCAGCTGCTGCTTAATGAGTATAGAGCACACAGGGCAGACAGCACTGGCTGTTGCTGTGACCCTCATGGCCTGAAGTGGTGCTAGCTGGTCACCTTGGAATGACTGTTCCCATGCCTCAGACAGACTCTTCACAGTGACGTCCTGAGCCTGTGGGTTTTCTTCTCCTTGTGGCTTGGTGGTTACCGCCTGTTGATATCAATGATGAAAGGCTACAGGGAGACTGGGTGTGGTGGCCTTTAGCCTAGCCTAGGAACCTGCTGGGTGTGTCCCAGGAAGTGCCAGATGCTGCCCACACCCTCTTCCTGACCCCTGACAGAAGCAGCCCTGTCATTAAGAAGAACGTGGCATTTTGTAGGAGGGGACCCGCCTCCTGCCCCTGTGTGTGTGTGTGTGTGTGTGTGTGTGTGTGTAGCTGGGGGCTCATTTGACAGACCTCTTCCACCATCTTACCTGTTGTGGGTACAACCCGGAGAGACTGGGGTGCGGAGTGCCTAGAGTCTGCCGTGGGCTGGGTTTGCTAATTCATCTCATTCTTTTTTTTTTTTAATTAAGACTTTTATTTTTAATCATGTGTATTGTGTATATCTGTGCCTGGATTTGCAGGTGGTTGTGAGCCACCTGACATGGGTGCTGGGAACCAAACTCAGGTCCCCTGGAAGAGCAGCAAGCATTCCTAACCACTGAGTCATCTCTCCAGTCTCTCATCTAATTCTGAAGCCAAGTCACTTTCCAGCAAGGCCCAGAGGGGCCACATGAACTGCCCAGCATCACTGAGCAGTTTGGTACTGGACCTTTCTCGTGCCACATGCTACCTCAACTGGGAGCCCTGGAGAGTCCTGCAAGCCATGCTGCCTGAGGCCTGTGCCCTGTTAGCCTGACTCTCCAGGCCATAGCCACACTGTCCCCGCTGCTGTGCTCGGAGGGACACACTGGGGGAAGAAGGGTTTATTGACTTACACACTCCAATCACAGTCTGTCCTTGAAGGAAGTCAGGTAGGAGCAGATGCCAGAAACTCAGAGGGAAGCTGCTTACTGGCTTGCTCAGCCTGCTTTCTCACTGGGCCCAGGATCACCTGCCCAGGGTGGCACCACCCACAGTGGGCTGGGCCCTCCCACATCGACTGTAAATGAAGAAAATGCCTCCACAGAAAAGACTTTTTAAAGTCATGCACATTATTTAAAAGAACTATTGGTGTTTTGTTTTTGTTTTTGTTTTTGTTTTTTGTTTTTGTTTTTTTTTTTTCGAGACAGGGTTTCTCTGTGGCTTTGGAGGCTGTCCTGGAACTAGCTCTTGTAGACCAGGCTGGTCTCAAACTCAGAGATCCGCCTGCCTCTGCCTCCTGAGTGCTGGGATTAAAGGCATGCGCCACCAACGCCCGGCTAAGAACTGTTGTTTTACTCACAAGCAGCAGCACAGAAGCTTGGTGGATCCAGTGTGAGAAACCTGTTCCACCCCACTCGTGGTCACATGCTTCCCTGACGCTGACCACCGCTCCCATTTTGCTTCGTGGTCTTCCCAAAATAGTCCCATATATATATATATATATACAGGTTTTTCCCAGCAAGGCTGCTCTGCATGGCGTACACTTGGCGGTGTGGCTTGGGATGGGTGCAGGCTGCAAGTCTGCACTGTAATTTACTTAGCCAGTGTCCTGGGGACGTGGATTTGGGTCACCCCCAGCCTTTTGTGTTGACCCAGCCTGTGCAGCTGTGCTTGGCTTGCATGCTGAAGGTGAATTCCTAGAGGTGTTGTGGGGGAGGATTCCATCCTGTGGGTCCCTCTGCTGTGTCCCTCGGTCCTCGCCACTGTGGCCGAGAGTCTTGTAGCAATTCAGACCTTCAGTCTCAGGTGGCACAAGAGGGCCATACTGGGTCATTACAGGAATGGAGCACAGGCCCCAAAACAGGAGAGACTGCGGTTGGGGGAGGGGCTTTCTTGACCAAGGATCCTCATGTGTTGCTGCCACTTGCCCTGAGTCTGTGGGATATGGTTGGATGCTCTCTCTGGCGAGGGGGGGGGGAGCTGAGGCTTGCAGAGCCCTCCCTCACCCAGAGACCTCACTGGTTGGGGTTCAATCCCATCGCTGCATCACATAGACAAGGAAGTGCCCCAGTCGCTGTGGCTGCCTCTTTGAAGGCTAGGCCCTCTGTGGCTGTTTCCTGCTTATTGAGCCATTCTCAACTGGGTGACAGTGAGGCCCAGTAGGGAGGGGTGTGCCCCCTGGCCCCTGGGGCAGAGCGTGGCCTAGATTGGACAACTGTGATGCCTGATGACAGATCCAGGGCAGACACAGTGCTGGGATGTTGTATAGATCACAGTGTGACCCCAGGGCCAGAGAGCCAGCCACATGCTCAGCCATGAGGCTGTTGAGGCAGGGCTGGACAGTCACAAGAAGATGGAGAGGGCTCAACTGGAAAAATCGGGGGAGCCCTTAGCTCAGGGGAGAAAGGTCTCCTGACAGCTCCCAGGGAACTACATGGCAGAAGCTGGGGCTCTAGGGGACAAGACCAGAGGGGCTGTGTCGGGGACAGGGGAATCCAGGACTGTCTTTGGATCTAGTGTCCGGATCCAGCTGGGTCAGGGTAGGTGTTTCTGGGGAGACAGGGGTTCCGGCTTGGAAACCACCTGGAGCCCGCTGATATGTGGAGAAGGTATGTATAAGCTGCCTGGGAGGGCTTCCTTAGGGAGATGCCTCTGAGGAGAGGCAGTCGGCAGAATCCCGGGAGGCAGGAGCAGCAGCTGTGCAGACAGCTTGGGGTTATCCTCAGGATGGTAAACCCTTCCCGGAAGCCCCCATCCCACCTTGAGGCTCACTCACCACCTCTCCGTGTGAGTCAGGGACACAGGCCTGGAGTAGGTCATGGACCAGTCCCTCATCTCTGCTGGTCTCTCCCTCGCAGCTTGTGAGCAGCCGAACCTGCAGACCGCAGATCCACACCTGCGCAGCTTCCTCCCTCTGGCTGCACCATGTCTGGCTCCTACGATGAGGCCTCGGACGAGGTCACAGACAGCTTCTGGGAGGTGAGTGGAGGTCTGTGCTCCCGCTGTCCCCCAACTCAACCCGTGACCTCAGCCATGCACCCCACCTCCTGGGGCCTCTTCAGAATCCCCAGTGTCCAATAGGCAGCTGAGGCCTTGAAAGTGGGGTGAGATTGGTCAGTGTCCTGCAGCAGCTTCCCAGAAGCTACCCAGAACGAGGCTGTCATAGTTCACACTCTGGGGCCAGCCCCCTCCCCCAGAGTGGACCATTGCCCGCCCTTCGTATCTCATAGCCCACCTAGCTGCTCCCACTGTACCCTCTGCGTGGTGGGCAGGGGATGGACTTTTGAACCAGAGAGTTGGGTGAGCCCAGGGACCCCACAACCCCATAGAGACATAAGCGAGACTACAAGCCAGCATTTCAGGGGCTTCTGAGAGTATTTGAGACCTGGAGGGGAAAAAAAAATTGCTTTTGGCTTTGGAAACTGAAAAGGAAACTGGCAGGCCTAGATTAATAAGTGCTTAATGAGATGTCCACAAAACGTAATATTGTGTCAAGAAACCGTAGCTCCGCTGAAGCTTATATGACTCGTATATAGATTTAGCTCACAAGAACAAAATGAATAATTCATTCTAGCCCAAGTACAAATTATATAAAAACCCCTTCTTTTTGTGGTAGTGACGAGGCTTTGGAGGAGGAGGGTAGGTGGAGATCGTGGGGTCTGACGTGGAGTTCTGGGAGTCCCCAAGGTGGAGGGCGGGACCAGGCCGGAGACGGCGCGCCCCCTGCAGGCCAGGGTCAGGATCACAGGGGCTGCCCGGTCATTTGCTGCTCTGCCGCCAGGTGGGGAACTACAAGCGGACGGTGAAACGCATTGACGACGGCCACCGCCTCTGCAACGACCTCATGAGCTGCGTGCAGGAGCGCGCCAAGATCGAGAAAGCCTATGCGCAGCAGCTCACCGACTGGGCCAAGCGCTGGCGCCAGCTGATCGAGAAAGGTGCCCACCCCGGGCTCTAGCGGGTCCCCCAGGGAGGGCCCCCGGTGCACCAGCATCCAGCCACAGGGCTTTTCACAACCTGGGACCCTTCCTTCTCCTGTTTTGTACAACTCTGGAGTGCACACACACACACACACACACACACACACACACACACACAACCACTTTTTATTTTAAAAGAAGATTCCAGAAAAGTCATTTATAGTGCAGAGAGCCCTGGATACCCCTCAGCCAGTTTCTCCAACTAACAACATTTCACTGTAACTTTCTGTGTAATTTTGAGACAGAATCTTAGTAGCCCAGGCTGGTCCCCAACCCTCAATGTGGCTGAGAATGACTCTGAAGTCCGGATCTTTGTGCCTCCCCCTCTCTACATCAAAGATTATAGGTGTAGACGGCCACGCCTAGCTTCTCTCTCCCTCTCTCTCTTCCCCCTTCCCTCCCTCACCCCTCTTTCATTTCTTTGGGACAGCATTTTACTCTGTAGCCCTGGCACCTAGAATTCACTCTGGAGACCAGGCCGGCACAGAGATCCACTGCCTCTGCCTCCCGAGTCCCGGGTTTAAATTGTGAACGGCCATAACTGGCAGTGGCTTCTGCTTCTTCCTCCTCCTCTTCCTTGTCTTTTCTTTTTCTTGGTTTTGCTGTGTAGCCCAAGCTAGCTTTGGGATCTGCCAGACAAGTTTTCCCTCTGTTATTATTATTTTTATTTGTTTTTTCGAGACAGGGTTTCTCTGTGTAGCTTTGGAGCCTATCCTAGAACTCACTCTGGAGACCAGGCTGGCCTCGAACTCACAGAGCTGCGCCTGCCTCTGCCTCCCGAGTGCTGGGACTAAAGGCGTGCGCCACCAGCGCCTGGCCTTTTCCTCCATTAATGAATACCCACATTTTTTTCTGAACTATTTGAGGGAAATTAGAGCTGTCACCCTTACCCTCGTTCCCAAACTCTCCACATATCTGAGAACACAGGTGCATAAGCCACCATCATTCATCTGTCATAATCGGGGACTTTAAAACAGCTCATAAATAAGCCGAGCAGTGGTGGCGCACGCCTTTAATCCCAGCACTTGGGAGGCAGAGGCAGGCGGATCTCTGCGAGTTCGAGGCCAGCCTGGTCTACAGAGCGAGTCCCAGGACAGCCAGGGCTGTTTGTTACACAGATGGGTAGAAGTTTGGGGATGGTGGAGGAAGGTGTTTCTGTTGCCATTGGAAGAGAGGGGAAGCATCAGAGAGAGGGCTGTAGGCATTGTGTGACTCCCTGACATGTCCCCCAGGCCCACAGTATGGCAGCCTGGAGCGTGCCTGGGGTGCCATGATGACTGAGGCAGAAAAGGTGAGCGAGCTACACCAGGAGGTGAAGAACAGCCTGCTGACTGAGGACCTGGAGAAGGTGAAGAACTGGCAGAAGGACGCCTACCACAAGCAGATCATGGGGGGCTTCAAGGAGACCAAGGAGGCGGAGGACGGCTTCCGGAAAGCCCAGAAGCCCTGGGCCAAGAAGATGAAGGAGGTGCCTCAGATGGACGGGGCAGGGGGCCCACAGGGAACAGCAGCATCTTGCAGAAAGCACTGTCCACATGGGGTCCCTGGTGCCTGGCACACAGCCGGCCAGCTCGACAGCAGCACCCACAGATGAGGTCATGGGCTGAAGTCTCGGAGCCGGAGCCAGCAGTCCCTTGCCTCTTACCAGGACAGCTCCACGGGGGGTGGGGGGTAATGTGGAGTTGACAGGCAGATGTTGGTGATGGGTGACCACATGCATCATGTATGCCCACCCTGGCCTTCTCCCCACAGCTGGAGGCGGCCAAGAAGGCCTATCATCTGGCTTGCAAAGAAGAGAAGTTGGCCATGACTCGGGAGGTGAACAGTAAGACAGAGCAGTCGGTCACCCCCGAGCAGCAGAAGAAACTTCTGGACAAGGTGGACAAGTGCAGGCAGGACGTGCAAAAGGTACCTGGGGGGAGATGGCAGGGGTCCCCAGGGTGGTAGCTGGGAGCTGCAGGCCTGTTAAGGCCTCACCCCGACCTCCACCCCGGTACCCACAGACTCAGGAGAAGTATGAGAAAGTGTTGGAAGATGTGGGCAAAACCACGCCGCAGTACATGGAGGGCATGGAGCAGGTGTTCGAGCAGTGCCAGCAATTTGAGGAGAAGCGACTGGTCTTCCTTAAGGAGGTCTTGCTGGATATCAAACGGCACCTCAACCTAGCGGAGAACAGCAGGTACCCGGGCATGGCCCGCTGCACTGCGAGACTGGAGTGCAGGCACCCCAGGCATGGTGGGGGGCAGAGGGAGAGTCTGCAAATGCGCTGCTGCAGGGGTGAGCCAGCTCTCACTAGTTACCCTGGAAACACAAACTTGGGTGGCAGTACCTGGCCATGGTGAGGCCGCCGCCGGGGGTGAGAGTGCTGGAGCTGGAGGCAAGACCTGAGCTCCCTTCCCAGAATTCACATCAGGGAGCTCACAACTGCCTGTAACTGCAGCATCAGAGGTTCTGTCACCCTCCAGCCTCTGGGGACACTCGCTGTCACACGCACAGACACACAAGCATAAAATGAAATTCAAGAATAAATAAGTCTTGGGTTTGAGAGGTGGCTCAGCTGGAGCACTGGCTGCTTTTACAGAGGGCCAGAGTTGGATTCCTGGCACCCACACCTGGTGGCTCAGTTTTGACCCCCCCAAAGCTACAAACACATATGGTACCCACAGAAATAAAAATAAATCTGAAAAAAAAAAGAATCTTGCTTAACGCCTTTAACCTCAACTCTTGGGAAGCAGTGGCAAGCAGATCTCTGAGTTCAAAGCCAGTCAAGGCTACATACAGAGACTCCACCTCAAAACCAAACAAGTTGCAGAAAAAAAATAAATAATTGTTTAAAAAAGCACTGGGCAGTAGTAGCATACCTCTTTAATCCCAACACTCGAGATGGAGGCAGACAGATGTCTGTGAGTTCCAGGCCAGCCCAGTCTACCAGAGTGAGTTCCAGGACAGCAAGGGCTCCAAAGAGAAACAAACAAAAAAAAAAAAAAAAAAAAACCAAAAAAAAAAAAAAAAAAAAAGCAAAGCAAACAAAACAAACAAACAAAAAAAACCTCAACAAGTCAAAGGTCTGGAGACATGGCTCAGCAGTTAAAACTGCAATTCCCATCACCCGCTTAGTAGCTGGCAAACACCCCTGACTCCAGTTCCACGGAATCCAATGCTGTCTTCTGGCCTCCAAGGACATACATGGGGCAAATGTATTCAAGCAGGCAAAGCACCCACTCATGTAAAATAAATACATACAGTTTTAAAAATAAGAGTGGGGTGGGCTTCTGCTTCCTGTTTGTGGGTGCCCAGCATCCTGGCCTCTGGATGGGATGAGAAGAAAGCCTGTGCCCCCTCCTCCCGCAGCTACACCCATGTGTACCGAGAGCTGGAGCAGGCCATCCGGGGAGCTGACGCCCAGGAGGACCTCAGGTGGTTCCGCAGCACCAGCGGCCCTGGGATGCCCATGAATTGGCCTCAGTTTGAGGTGAGGATGTTTGGGTGGCAGGAAATCCTTAGGCGGTTAGGAGGGGACTGCCAGTTTAGACCCCTCTGCCTGACTTCTGTCCGCCCCCAGGAGTGGAATCCAGACCTCCCCCACACCGCTGCCAAGAAGGAGAAACAGCCTAAGAAGGCAGAGGGGGCCACACTGAGCAATGCCGCCGGGGCTGTGGAGTCCACATCCCAGGCTGGGGACCGCGGCAGGTGAGTACCTCCCATGGAGTTCCTGGGTAGGAGAGAGACCGACATCCTGGGACAGATACATTTTATCCAAGAAGACAAGAAATGACCCCAGATCATAGCTGCTATGCGTCCTCTGAAAAACAGGTGGGTGACCCTTCAAGACACCTGTTGTGGGGTCACACAGTGTTACGAGCACTTCCTTAACGTTCATTGCCCCTGCCCCTGTCCAGCCTGGCAGTGTATAAATGTGCGCATTTTAAGGGTAGGGAAGCTCGAGGCAACACGCCCAGGGTCACACCTGGCAACCACGGAAGGCTCTCCAGATCCCAGCTGGCACCGTTTGGGGACAGTGCCCCTTTCACAGGGTCCGACAGTACGGGTCCTCGGCATCACCTCCTCCCTCAGGAGCTGACATACCAACGCCCAACGTTCAAGTTGTCAGAGGGTCACTGGCCCTGACCCCCCGGGCCTCCTCCGTAGACTTGGGGCCCAAGGCCTGGCGAGGGTTGGGTGTCGCTGATACAGGGCCTCCGTTCGCACCTCAGTGTCAGCAGCTACGACCGAGGACAACCGTATGCCGCCGAGTGGTCGGATGACGAGAGCGGGAACCCCTTCGGGGGGAATGAGGCCAACGGCGGCGCCAACCCCTTCGACGACGATGCCAAGGGAGTCCGCGTGCGA